ACTCGAAATCTCTGAGAATCGGCGGGTTTGGAGGATGTATTGGGCGCCGCGGCCGCTCCAGAGCGTTCCGGAACGCTCCGAGAGCGCTCCGGAACGCTCTGGAGCGATTAGCCCTGTTTTAGGGGGGGGAGGGAGGCCCACGGATTCGGTTCGTTCGCCCTCTCCACTCGATGCGTGCCTACCCTACGCCCTGGACGGGCTCGTATGCGTGTTTTCTTCCCTATCGCCGTGTCGATCCGTCGCCCAAGTCGGCCATACTTCTATTTCCCCACAGGGACGCAGAGACCATTCAGCTGCTGTTTGCTCGGCGCCAATAGGAAGTCTAGGTAAGAGACAGGGAGGAGAGAAGGACATGGTATTTTTTGCAAAGGGTTCTTGACATTTGCTCTCTTGAAATGAAGAAGTCTGCGCGCATATTATGATTTGATAGGGATGGCGGGGGGGGGGGGCGATACCGGCCTGGCTGGGATAGTATGAATGCTTCTTTCGGATGGACGAGTGTGCAGAAAAAACAATTTAAATACCACAGTGGACCGTTAACTCCGGGGGGGTAGAATTTATCTTTCTTTGAGAAAGGAGAATCTAGGGCGGCGACGGGGCGGCGACGGCGATAACATATCCGCCAGACTGCTGCACAGGTCCCGACGACGGGCGACGACAAGGCGGCGACGGGGCGGCGACGGCGACAACATATCCGCCAGGCTGCCACACTGGTCCCGACGACGAGCGGCGACAAGGCGGCGACGGGGCGGCGACGGCGACAACATAGCCGCCATACCGCCACACCAGCCCAGTTCCTTAGAAGTGCAAACGCTGCGTTTGATAATTCATACAACTGTATACGTATACATATAGAGAGAGAAAGAGAAAGAGAGAGAGAGAGAGGTAGAGAGGGAGAGAGAGAGAGAGAGAATGATACAACAAACAAAAACAAGAGAGAGAGAGAGGCGGAAGAAGAGAAACATATGATGAAGAGGGGGGCGGGAGCCGTCGCAGGAAGAGGGGGGGCAGGGAGAGAAGGAGGAGAGGATGACGAGGAAGAGTGGGGAGGAGGGCAGTAGGGTGGATCGGGGCCTGCGATCGTGCCGCCACGTGGCGATCCCGAACGCAGCTCGACAGCCCTGCCGATCGCAGAGAAGGAAGGGAGGTCCCTGGCGAATTCCCTCCTCCCCTTTCTCCTCCGCCACCTCCCTCTCCTCCTCCTCCTGCTGCTCTCTTCCCCCTCCCTGTCCCTCTCCCCCTCGTCCCCCTCGTCCTCCTCCTCCTCCTCCTCCTCCTCCTCCTCATCCTCCTCTTCCTCCTCCTCCTCCTCCTCCTCCTCCTCCTCCTCCTCCTCCACCCCCTCCACCCCCTGCGACCCTCTGCCGGCAAAAGGACCAAGGCCCGCGGGCCCAACATACAGTCCTCTGCAGGAGGACGCCCGCCTGCCTACCTGCCTCTCTCCGCCCCTCCGTCCCTTTACCCCATCCCCTCGCCCTTCTCCTCCGCTTCCTTCTTCTCCCCGTGCCCCTCCTCCTCCCCCTCCCCCTCTCGCCCCTCCCCTCCCCCTCCTCCCCTCACCCTCCTCCCCCCCCCCCTCCCCCTCCTCGCCCCTCCCCCCCCCGGCGATCGGGTGCTGCCGAGGGTGGTCCTGGGCTTTGCAGGGCGACCCCACTCACACCCCTGGGGGGCCCAGATGGTGCCCAAATGGCGCGCGAGAAGCCAGCGGAAACCTTGGGCCAAGACCACCCCTAGCGACACACGGGGCGAACGCACGAAACCGGCCGCCCTTAGGTCCAGACGCTTTGGAGCCCTTGCCGCCCTTCGCTCCCTTGCCCTCGTGGCGCTTGCCGCCCGCCATCGCCAGGTCTCACGCGGCGGTGGGCGGATCACCGGTATTAAGCGTGCTGTTGGGCGATCAACCCAGAGAAGACGGTGGATGCGGAGGAGGAGGAGGAGGAGGAGGAAGAGGAGGAGGAGGAGGAGCAGGAGGAGGAGGGAGGAGAGGGGACTGACATATTGAGCGCATGAGTAAGTTGAGGAGCGAGGAGGAGAGGAGGACGAGGTGGAAGAGGACAAGGACAAGTGGATGCGCGATGAGGAAGAGAAGGATGGGAAAAGGAGAGGATGACGTATGCGGCGGGTAATGGAGGAGGAGGAGGAGGAGGAGGAGGAGGAGGAGGAAGGAGGAGGAGGAGGAGGAGGAGGAGGAGGAGGAGGAGGAGGAGGAGGAGGAGATAGAGACGCTACGGCCCTCTGCTGGCCTAGGAGGAAGATGCAGAGGAGGAGGAGGAATCTAGACCCGTGTCTAGGACCTCCAAAGCTCTCGCGCCCGAGAGGGGGAGGAGATCAAACAGTAGCACCGCCGAGAAGGGCGTGTGCTGGCTCTTTTTGCGGAGCTCTGGGCGCGGAACGAAGGTGGGGGGAACGGGGCCCCGTAAACAGGGAATCTGACATCAGCCAGGACGCTGGCGCGCTCGGGATGAACTGCAGCTGTGCCACTGGTCTGCTGCAACTGCCCTGGCCCCAGACATCTGGCGCTCTCATTGTTTCGATGCGCGGGCCCTCGTACCTCTCCACCCCTTCCCCGGGGCTGGCTTTCCAACCCGAATCTCTTCTCTGACGGCCCCGAGGCCCTCTCAGAAAGAAGCCCGCACCTTAGAAGCCTCACATGGCGACAGACCGACCGCCTTGATCCTCTCGGGGCGCCGAATGTCCAGGTTCCGCAGCAGGACTCATCCGACGTGGCCTTTTGTTTCGCAACATGGCTCTCCAATGTTCTGGGCCCCTTTCCCGGGGGCCGGCGTCTCGTCCTGGGCCGTTTTCCCACGGCCCCCAGTCGTGGCCGAGGGCCCCCCAAGAGGCTTAAAACGGCCGAAAGCTTTCCGCGGCACGAGGGTGTCAATGTCTCCCCCCTTTCCCCCTGCTCATCCGCTACCTCCTCCCCCATTTCCTCCATGCACGCAGCTCCCTTGTCTGATCGCGCAGGGCGCGATCGGGCATCCTGGGGTCTTCCAGTCGGCTGTGCCACCAGCTGGCGGGCAAAGAAAATCAGCGCTACGGGAACGCTTCGGTGGGAGGGGTATGGTGGCACATGTGGCGCGACCGCGCCCAGCTTGCCTCCCCCCCTCTCTCTCGCACGCACGTGCTATACGATGATGATAATCCGCCGTGTCTTCAACCGCCACACCAACACACAAAACAACAAAAACGGCGCCGAGAGCGACAGCACCGCTGCACGTGCAAAGCCATCAACATCCTCCCATCTAGACAGGCGCAACTCATTTGGACGACAGGCGGTGTCGCGACTCCTCCGCCCCCGCCCTCGTCCCCCCCCCCCCGCCCGCTCCCCACTCCTCACTCCCCGCTCCCCCTCCCTCCACTGCACGCAGAAGTGGCCCTGAGTAAGAGTCACCGTTGGTGCGCGGCTTCAGGGGGGCTGCGGGGAAGCCACACCCAAGCGCGCACGCCTGCGCCAGGGGAGCCCCTGCGGGGCCGCACCAAAGGTCACCCTGGCGAGAGGCCACTCCTACGCGAGAGGCCGACTCCCGCGAGCGGTGAATCGGGATCGGCCAAGAGGGGGGTGTTCAAGAGGGGGGGGGGTGCAAATCATGACCGGCGGCATGTGCGCGGCCCAGCGGGGGGGCCAGGGACGTAATGAAATAAGAAGAGGCGCCCTGAAATCTGGGGAAATATCATGGCCCACGCCATGATATCCACCCCCCCCTAGTCATCACCCTCCTCTTTGCCGCCCCCGAGTGAAGCAGCAGCAGCATCGGGACCGCCGCTGCCGGGCCTGTGGGGAGGGCGGCGGCCCTCTGTGCCTGGCACTATGTACGAGGGGCGGGGGCCCGCCAACGGCCTCGCCAGAGGCGGCCGCTCGAGCACAGACGGCCGCGGAGGGGCATTGGGCAGGGCTGCCCTCCTCCTCCTCCTCCTCCTCCTCCTCCTCCTCCTCCACCTCTTCCTCTTCTTTTGGCGCCGGGAGAAGTTTGAGCGAAGCTGGTCGTGTCGCTTCCTTCCTTCTCGTCCTCCCCCCCGTCGTCCAGCTCCTCCTCCTCGTCCTCCTCGTCCTCCTCCTCCTCCTGTTCCTTCTCCACCTCCTTAATCTCCTCCTCCTCCTCTTCTTTCCCTCTTCTCTTCCGCACTCGTCCTCCCCTTCCTCCTCCTCCCTCCTTCTCCTCCTCCTCCTCCTCCTCCTCCTCCTCCTCCTCCTCCTATCCGTCCTCCTCTTCCTCTTCCATGCGTGCCCCTCATACATTATTTTTGTTACCCCCCTCCCCCAGACGCGTCAGAAGGGCGGGCCTGGCGTTTCACTTGGGATTTCCCCACCATTTGCGATTTACTTAGGATCGAAGGGCTTTCGAAATTGCAGCGTGTTCTAGAAATGAGGGCGGGTGGTTTTCATCATGCGACTCTCGATTTAGCTCCACGCGCAGTCGCGTGAAACAATGCAGCAACTTGGAAGATGGAGTGCGGTTGGTTTCCCAACTGTGGCTCTCGACGTCGAGCAGCGCACATTAACACAGACTTACCCTGCGACGTACCCGACCCACGTGCATCAATTGACAAGACAAGTTGGCCCAACTTTGCCAAGACAATGACAGTGCAGGCGCCGTTATACGTGGTGCAAATTACATAAGGTGCGCTCACGTGGCACGATTTACAGGACAACAGCAGAAGGACGAGGAGCGAGGGCCCAGGCTTGAGGAGGACGTGGGGGCGGGAACGAAGGGCAGGAAAAAGACGCGTGGGGGGCCGAACCCTGGTCCAATCCTTGGGAGGCCTGGACCCCCACGCCCCTGGGGGGCAGCTCTGCGGACGTTCTCGGGTGCCCCCGAGCGGTGTGGTGACCACACCGCGTGGTGAGCCAATGGTGATTCGGGGTCGCCACACGGCTTTGGGACTGGCCTCCAAGGTCCCAACACCGTGCGGTGACGGAGCGCGCGGTGAGGTGGTTGGGGATTCCGAGGTCACCACGCGGTCCGTCACCTCACGGTTTTGGGCACCCCTCGGCTTTTCTGGCAAGCCGCGCGCCTGGCGTCCGAGAATGCTAGAATGCTTGGCGCTTGCGCCGCGAATTTGAATTGATTACGCTCTGGCCGCACAGGCGGGGCGCCTGAGCACGTGGTGCTTGCTGGCTGAGGTTGTGGCGCGGGTGGCGCTCGCTGTCTTTGCAAACTCCAGCGCGGCCACGGCCGCCGCGACGACCTGGGAGACATCCTCGGTGCCGCAGAGCTCGATCACTGGGCCGCCGAGCGTCATCTCCGCCTTTGGAGGAGGAGGAGGAGGAGGAGGAGGAGGAGGAGGCGGAGGAGGAGGAGGAGGAGGAGGAGGAGGACGAGGAGGAGGCGGAGGAGGAGAGAGGAGGAGGAGGAGAAGGAGGGAGGAGGAGGGAAGGAGAAGCGAAGGAGAAGGGAGGAGGAGGAGGAGGAGGAGGAGGAGGAGGAGGAGGAGGAGGAGGAGGAGGAGGAGGGCGGCACTCCCCAGAGGCTGCGGCCCCGTCGTCCCGCACGCAGCCGCTGGCGCGGAGCCCTCCCCGCGCACGACTGGTGGCACCGCGCGCCGAGCACCCCGCGGCACCCTGCGCGCCTCGGGGCGCCCACCGCTCCGAGGCCGAGAGCGCCGGGCGCCCGAGGTCGGCTGCGCGGGGCGCCCCTGGGCGCCGAGCGCCTCGGAGCGTTGCACGGCCGAGGCGTTCGGCGCCCCAAGACGCCCCGAGCAGCCTGCCTGGGGCGCTGCAGCGGCGCTGCGTGCACAAGGAGTGCCTGAGTCAGCCGGTCCAGGGCGCCGAGGCGGCCTCGAACGCCCAAGCGGTGCCCTGGGCAGCCTGCCTGGGCAGGTGCGCCGAGGCGCGCCGAGCGCGGCGGAGCGCGCTGGGTGCCGTGGGGCGCTCAGCGCCCAGGGGAGCGCAGGGCGCCCGACACTCCCAGGCAAGTGTGCCCAGGAGCGCCGAGCGCGGTGGGCGCCCAGCAGGGCGCAGGGCGCCGGGAGACAATCGCCGCGCGGAGGCTCCGTGCCAGCAGTTGTGTGCGGGGAGGGCTCGACGCCAGCAGCTGTGTGCGGGAAGCCTCTGGGCCGAAGGTTCTGTGGGAAGCCCCTGGGGAAGCATCTGGGCAAAGCCTTCGGGCGAAGCCCTGGGAGAAGACTGCGAGCGAGGGGAAACCTCCGCGCGAAGTCCCTGGAAGAAGTCTCGAAGGAAAGCATCTGGGGATCTTACCTGCAGGAAGAATATAGACGAAGCCGCTGTACACAATCGGAACAAATTGTGTGGCAAGAAACCGGCTGTGGAAGCATCTCTCACACGTGTAAATCAGAAGCAGAAGGCACTTTCATCTGTCCTATGAGGGGAAGATCAAAGCATCTGTTGTAACCCTCCCGTTCGTATCGGGGCCTTCCCCGATGCAAATCGCAGGCAGCGAGCACTGTCCACCGACTTCTGTCCTCTGCCTTCTTTTGTCTCTTTCGGTTCCCGTTGCACTTCCGATGTGGGGGCACCTCCACATCGCCGTCTCCTTTTCGCTTCGATATCTGATGCTTTCCCGGCTGCCAGTGACGGCTCTCTTTCCGCTTCCAGGTCCGGACCCGCCCCTCTGCTCTGCCGACCCTTCGTGCTCACGACTCGAATGAGCATGAAACAGCCGCAGCTCAAGCTTGCCAAATGTTCGCACTCAGGTCCTTCCCCACCTGCATCCCACGAGCCAGCATCCCAAGAGCCAACAGCTCGAGAGCCAGCACGTCGACGCCGATCCAACTGTCCCTCGCCTTTTGCCTCCTCGGGCCTGCTGGCGATCCCTCGTCACCACGTCTGGATTCGCCCCAGAGCCCTGGTCAGGGAGCGCTCTCTGGCGGGGGGGTGTCGGAGCAGGGCAAGCTGAGACAGCGGCAACTCGAATCGGTCCCCGCCCCCTCCCGGGGTCCAAGCACATCAGTTCTCCGAGCTGCGGCCGATCGTGGCGACGGGGGTGCCCCCCCGGAGGCCAACTACCGTTGTCTCAACTCGCCCTCAGCTTAGGGCCTGTCTCGGATGGGGTCTCCAGGGAGTGGCAGCATCTGCACACCTTTCTGCTCCCCGGCCTTTGTCCTCAGGATGCCGAGCAGGCCCCTCAGGGGCGGCAGCGCGCCCTTCCTGGGCATGGGCACCGCCCACGCGCAAGAGTGGCCTGAAGCAACAGCGGCCTTTGGTGCGCGGCTTACCGATCGCCGCATGCGACGCGACAGGAGCCGCCTGCGTGCCTGGGCCGCTTAGGGCCTCGGGTTGCGCACAGGCAGCCGCCCCAGATAGTCGCAACCGGCCCCAGCAGGTCCTCCGGGTAGCCCACCAGCGGTCTCAACATCCCAGCACAGGGGCGCGGAGCGCTCCAGATTCGCCGCTCGGGAGCGGCCAAGAGGGGGGTGTCCAAGAGGGGGGGGTGCAAATCATGACTGGCGGCATGTGCGCGGCCCATCGGGGGGGCCAGGGACGTCATGAAACAAGAAGAGGCGCCATGAAATCTGGGGAAATATCATGGCCACCGCCATGATATCCCCCCTCCCCTAGTCATCACCCCCCTCTTTCCCGCCCCCGAGCCGCTGGAGGCGGGCCGAAGTGCCGAGACCGCCCCGGGGCTAGCCACGCGGCTACCAGAGGGGGGAGGCCTGCGCGCACCTCGCGGGGCCCTGCCGCCCCGGGGCTCCTCGACGGCCGCGCACCAGAAGGCCCCTCCAGCGGCAGGCCAGCCCCACGCGCAACCCAAGGAGGGAGGGAGGGAGGGAGGGGGGGCAGGAGGCAGCCAGGGCGAGGGGGGGGGGGAGGGAGGGAGGAGGAGGGAGGGGCAGTGGGGGGGCAAAGGGGGGGGGAGGGGGGGGGGAGGGAGGGGGAGGGGGGGGGTAAGGGGCGGGGGGGGGGCAGAGGCAGCCAGGGCGAGGGGCAAGGGGAGGCACGGGGCGGCAGGGAGACCCAGACCCCCAGCGCCAGGAGCTCTGCACGGGCGTGCCCTGGGAGGGGCGCTTCGCCCCGAACCGTTCTTTGAGGGCCCAGGGGACGGGCGAGGGCCCCCGGAGGTGCAACAGAGAAAAGCACCTTCCCGCTGCGATCTGTCCTGTCACGGCGCGAGGAGGCCAGAGAAGAAGCAGCAGCAGCACGAGATTCCCAAGCCGCTTCTTGACGGTCCCAGTCTGGAGCCGCTTTTGTTGACGTAGACCCCCAGGGATCGAAAATAGCCCAAACACCTCCCGCCACAATTTTTGGTCACGACGCGAGGAGGTCACAGGAGGAGGAGCAGCAGCCGCATCAGCCGCAGCAGCCGCAGCAGCCATAGCAGAAGGAGCAGCAGCAGCAGCAGCAGCAGCAGCAGCAGCAGCAGCTTCCTGTGCAGATCCCCCGCGCAGGCGGGCCGCTGTCGCAGGAGCACGGCCAGCGCCACCCCAGCAGCGGTGCGCAGGTAGTTGGACTGCCAGCGCTCCTCGGTCCTCAGGGCCCTGCTCGGGCGTTGCTAGACGTGTCCCTTGGCCCAGTCGGGGACGTACTGACCCGGGTCAGTGCAAGCCCGGGTCAGTCAGGCATTGCAGGATCCTGCAGGATCCTGCGCAAAAGCCCGAGTCAGTGCACCCCTGGCCCTGCAGGGTCCTGCAAGATCCGGCGCTCTGGCTGACCCCCGTTTGCATTGACCCTCGTCTCTTGAGCCCCGACCCAAGGTGTCCACAGGATCCCCTGGGAGGCCCACATGAGCGGCGAAAAGAAACGGGCCTTACGCACGATGACATAGCGACATTAGCCTTACGCGGTGGCTCACGCGGGCCGCCAGCGCGGCACGCCACATTGGAGACGAGGGCGCTCACTCGCGACCTGACGCGGGCAGCTTAGGGGCGAAGGACGGCACAATCGAAGCCATTTTCTGCGTCGCTCGGATGGCCTCCAGAGTGTGGGAGGTCAGTTCTGGGAGGTCTTCGCCAGAATGATGGAGGGTATTTATATTGATTAAGGGCTGTCCGACTGGATCAGGCCAGATTGAGCCCAGGATTCGGCCATACTCGCAAATAATAAGCCAGATGAAGCCGGATTGGATTTGATTGAGCCAGATTGTGCTCGTTTTCGGCCAGGGGTATATCAGCGCCGATCCTGAATTCAACCTCCCAGGGGTGGCTTCCTAGCGAAGCTCCCATCACGAGGCGCAGAATGACCCAGAAGCTCCGAACTGGCGGGAAAAGCCGGGGACACCTTGAGCCCGCCATAGGTGACGCTGGGATGCGCTGGATATTGGAGGAGGAGGCCGCGGCGGCGGAGGAGGACCAGGAGCAGGAGCAGAGGCAACAGGAGGAGGAGGAGGAGGAGGAGGAGGAGGAGGAGGAAGAGGAGGAGGAGGAGGAGGAGGAGGAGGAGGAGGAGGAGGAGCAGGACCAGGACGGAGGACGGAGGACGCAGGGGGCCCCAGAGGCTCCAAGCCGGCGGGCGGGAGAAGCCGGGGGCCCCCCTGGGGCTCAGGGCCACTTCTGGCACCCCCCTCGGCCTGCGAGGGGCGGCGAGCAGGCGCACGAGGCTGCCGAGGACGTCCTGCTCCAGCAGGGCCTCGACGGTCCAGGCCTCGACCGCCGCGATGCACGGCAGAGGGAACGGCGGCACGAACGTAAACTGTCGGCGCTCTCGCCATCGCTCGGACGTCCATTCCTCGTGTTTTTTTGATTTCGTGCGTGTTTTTTCGCCAAATGATCAAGGATGGTCCTCGATGGCCGTCGCCGGGGAAAAAATGCACACGTCCGAGCGATGCCAAGCGCTCCGCGCGGTGTGCCTGGATCTGCATGGGGTCAGCCCGGGGCTGATGTTTCCCTCTTCCAGAGGCCGCTTGGAGCGGGGTGCCTTTGACCCCACCTCGGCCTCCGCCCCACCCTTGCGATCCCCCAGTCGGAGGTTCTCGTGGGTTTCTTGGATCGGCGCTGGCCCCCCGTTTGCGTTTCTTTCGGCGCTCTGCGCGGTCTCCTTGGACGAGACTGAAGTAGCAAGTGAAACACTTCACTGACCGTCACGATGAAGTGATGAGGGGTGGAGATCCTATGGTGCATCTTTAAGTCAATGGCGGGAGGCCTATGGTGCCCACCTGTGGTTGTCGCAAGGCCTATGGTGCCCTGCGGTGCCCACCCCGTCCCGGCCACAGGGGCTCGCACCTTTCCCTAACGATGGTGTGGTGGATGGGCGCTGGGCCCCGTTGGTGGCAGGTCCGGCGGCGCCCCTGGCGCGCTCCGCGCGCCAAGAAGGGGGTCCAGAGCCGATCCAAGCAGTCCGCGCGGAGCTCCGGAAGTTTATGCTCATGCGGCTTTTGCCTCTCCGGATGCAGCTGAGAGCGTCCGCGGCACAACCCTGGACGTGCGTGCTGGCCTCGCAGTGGAGCCGGTCCGCCAGCGTGGCCAGCGCCCCGGCGAGAGCGGAGAAGGCAGAGCAGCTCTCCCTGTCCTTGTTGAGCACCTGCACGAGCAGCTGCGAGCCGCTCTCCCGCACGTCCACGTCCTGGCTGCGGAGGATGCCCGGCAAGCGGCTCAGGCCGCCTGCCGTCCGGAACTCGGCGCAGCACTGCGCGTCCTCGCCGACCATCCCGCTGAGCACCAGGATGGGCTCCAGGCCGCCGCGAGCGTGCAGCTTGGGCACCACGACTCCGATGGCGCCAGCCCGGCGAAGGTCCCCCAAGCAATCCTGGTCGTCTGCGATGCGGATGATCGCGTCCAAGAACGCAGACTTGCGTGCGCCGTCGGCCCTCTTGGAGAGTGCCACCAGCCTGGGGATGAAGCCGCTAGCGCGGACGGCCCTGACGAGGGCGGAGTTTCTATGCATGGCAGCAGACAGGACAGTCGTGCAGTTCTGATGCACAGTCACAGAGGCGTCCTCCTGCATCAGCAGTGCTAGCAACATCGGCGTGCCGCCAACGACGTGGGCGATGCGCCCCGCCTCAGGGAAAGGCGATGCCAAGTTGGCCAAGTGGGACACACAGAGGCCCTGGATGTCATGGGCGCTGCTGTGCCGCCGCATCGCGGCCACAAGCGCGGCCACACACAAGAACACGGGCGGCCCAACCTCTCGACTACACGCAAGAGCGACCCTGGGCAAGAGTGACCTTTGATGCGCGGCTTTTTTGGGGCCGTTGGCGGGCCAAACACAAGCGCACAAGACGCTACTATCGCATCGCGTTCGGCGATCGGGGGACCCCGTGGGGCGCGCACCTAAGGTCACTCCGGCGAAAGGTCACTCTTACGTCTCGTCGAGCCTCGACCGCGACGAGCTCCAGGGTCTCGAAGGTCTCGCCCTCCGTCTTGGCGCTGCGCAGCTTCACGCGCGTCTTCTGCGCGTCCCCCCACGACTCGGCCAGGGCGGCGCCGCGCCGCAGCACCGCCAGCCAGGAGAGGCTGGAGGGTGCGGTCCAATCGGCGCCTGGCGTCAGCGCCGCGGCCTCGGTCCTGTGGAAGAATGATGACGATGACGATGACGATGACGATGACGATGACGATGACGATGACGATGACGATGACGATGACGATGGCGATGGCGATGGCGATGACGATGCTTGTTGAATGCTGAGCGCCATCGCGGTCGTCACCGTCATCGTCATCATCGGAACAGCGGCATCATAACGAGAAACTTTCGGAGCTCTGCGTGGACTTCTGGGGTCGGCGCTGGACCCCCCTGCCTGCCGCGCGGAACGCGCTAGGGGGGCCTAGCGCCGATCCAAGAAATCCGCGCGGAGTTCAGCGCGATCATGTATATGCGTGTTTTTCCTCCTCCATCGCCGTCGCCGTCGCCGTCGCCGTCGCCGTCGCCGCCGCCGCCGCCGACGTCGTCGTCGTCGTCGTCGTCGTCTTCGTCGTCGTCGTCGTCGTCGTCCTCGTCGTCCTCGTCGTCCAAGATATGCGCATGGAGCTCGGAAAAGGTGATGTGTAAGTGCACCTTTTCTGCGCCCCACAGCCTGAGGAACGGCTCCAGGAACGGCGAGCACCTGCAGGCGGCCTGCAGCGTGGCCGCGCCTGGAATGCCCGTGAAGCCGAGCACCATGTTCGGGCCGGGCGAAAGGGGGGGATAGCAAAGGTGAGAATCAGCTCACGCAGCTAATTCCCCGGCGCCCCCCAGCGCCCATGCATCGAGGAATGGGCCCAGCGGCGGGGCCGAAACCAGCTGCATGCAGCAGCCTTCGTAAAACCCGCCCCCCTTCCCTATCCCCCCCTCTCGTTCGGCCCGGCATGTGCACCAGCTCCGGCCCCAGCCGCAGCAGCCTCGCCGCCCGCTCCTGAGCCACGCCCTCGCCGCCCTCGCGCCGCGGGGCCGGGCGCCCTCGCGACCCCCTGAGGCGCTCCTGGGAGAGCAAGAAAAACTGACGACGACGACGCCGACGACGCCGACGACGACGGCGACGACGACGGCGACGACGGCGACGACGACGACGCTGACGACGACGACGACGGCGACGATGGCGGCGGCGGTGGCGACGACGACGACGACGACGACGTAGGAGTCAGACACTGGATAGACACAATTTCTCGGAACTCCGCGCGGACTTCTTGGATCGGCGCTGGGCCCCCGGCGCCGATCGAAGAAATGGCGATCCGCGCGGAACTCCGACAGCGTATGCCTGTACCGTTTGTTGTTCCTCGGGCGCTCCAGGAGGCGCACGCAGCTCAGCTCGTCTGTGAGTGAGTTTGCGAGAGCGTCTCGAGCGGGAGCCCCAGCAGAGACCAAACCTCCCTCCAGACTGATCCTCCCGACCAGCAGAGGCCTTGCGAGGAATACTTCCAGATCAGTTTTCTTGGTTCGCAGAATCCCATGCGGGGTCCTACCTTCGGAGTATAGGGGAACAAAGAATGACATAAACATAGAAACTCTGAAGTCCGCGCAGACTTCTCGGATCCGCGCTGGACCCCCTGGCGGCGCCTCCGGCGCCGCCCCTGGCGCGCTCCGCGCGCCAGGGAGGAGGGCCCAGCGCGGATCCGAGAAGTCTGCGTGGACCTCCGAATTTCTATGTTTATGCCATTCAGCGGGCGAAGAACGGTATAAAATAAACTGTTCCGCCGTCGGGAACGTCTGCCCCTGGGCGGCTGGAAAGTTCATACCCCTACGGTGCCACTGCCGCCCTTGGACAGGCGCCCCCGACAGCGAAATCGTTGATTTTCGACCGTTCTCCGCCCGACAAATTCTTCGTTCCCCTATGGGAGCATGTTGTTCCTCGCTGCGCTCCAGGAGGCGCACGCAGCTCAGCTCCACCTCCTGCAGCTCCGACGCCAGGGCGGGCGGGGGCACGGCCTCGGCCCAGTCCACGTGCAGCGCCGCCAGGAGGGCGCCGTGGGCCTGCAGCGCGCCGCGCGCCGCCCCGGAGACCTGTGCGCACCGCCGCTCGCCGGCGGCTCGAAGGCGGGGATAATCCCGAGCCGAGCTGCCCCGACACGCCACGCGCAGCGCGCAGCGCGCAGCGCAGGGATGCGGAGCTCGGCACGCAGACGCCGGAAAAACGGAGGTTTATGGCGCGATGCGCGCGCCAGAAGTAAGGGGGACAAGAAGTGGCATAAACATACAAACTCGGAGGTCCGCGCGGATTTCTCGGATCGGCGCTGGGCCCCCCTCCCTGGCGCGCGGAGCGCGCCAGGGGCGGCGCCGGAGGCGCCGCCAGGGGGGTCCAGCGCCGATCCGAGAAATCCGCGCGAACCTCCGAGTTTTATGTTTATGCCACTTTTTGTTCCCCTAGGAAGGTGGGCCAAGACGCTGAGCCAGCACGCCACGTGAGCGCATGGATACGGAGCTCGGCACGCTGACCGGAAACGCAGATATGGCTCGCTGGGTGCGCCACAACGTGGGCCAATGCGCTGAGCACGCCACGTCTTGGCACGGACACTTCAAGCACGGTGCGTGCTGAGTTTCAGAACGGGCGTGTCGAGGCAGCTAAGGTCCTGAGGGGTGGGGTCTGGAGGGCGAGGTGCCTCAAACAACGTCAATCCACCCTTGGATCTCTTCCTGTCCTCTGGACCCCATCCCTCAGAACCCCGTCTTTGAACCGCCGAGCTTGGACCACATCGCGCCGCCGCGCTGCGCCGGACTGCCGGCGCCGCCGCTTCAGCCAAAATGCAGCGTAGGATCTCAAGGAAGTCCGCGGCTCGCCGCCGAGGCACCGCGAGACTGTGAGCGGCGGAGCGCCCGCGTACGCCGCCGCCGCCTCGTCGCGCAGAGCGGCTTCTCGGGCCACGCGCGGCGCGGCCACGCCGCGATGGCGTTGGCGTTGGCGTCTGACACCGCGTGGGCAAGACCAGTCAGCATCGAATCGGTTCATCCGACCGAGTCGAACTGTGCATCGGATCGGGCCACATCGGCGCGTATTCGGCCGCGCCAGAATGCTTGGTGGTCCCCAAACGTGGTGGTGAGAACACCCGGTGGTGAGTTTTGGGCGATTTGGGTAATGGTTTCCGAGCGCTGGCTGGCCCAGGAAACGCAAAACCTCGTGGCGACCGCGTGTCCCCAAACCCGGTGGTGACCCAGAATTATTTCTTTGGTTGGGCGTGGCTTAATGGGGGGGTCACAAATGGGGGGGTCAGAAAAGGTCCCCTTTCGTGCCCCTTTCGGGCCCCTCCAGAGCCCCAGGGGGCTCGTTTAGGTACCGTTTTGGGTACCTTTTCGGACCACACTCCCCGCCCCCCCATTGACGATCCCCCCATTACGCAGCGCCCAAATTGGGGAAACGGGGTCACCACCGTGTGTCTCACCACCTGGTTTGGAGACCACCAAACTGCGCAACAACGGCGCGCAACCAGCGGGCCGCACCGGGCCGTGGGGCTATCGGAGTCGACTCGCATCGGGCTTGCCGGACTCGATACCGCATCGGATCGGTCGGATCGAAGCGGGCCCTGAGATGCTGCCCCTGGCGCGCCAGATGCGCGCCGAGCCTCGGATTCAGACGAAGCGTCACGGGAGAATGCAGCAAGTCAACACCGCGCGCCGGTGCATACTGTTTGGGGCCATTCGTGTGCATGTGCACGTGCGTGCACAGTGGCCTATGTGCACACGACGCGTATGTGTCCGCCCACGTGCCGCGAGGCACGAACTGCATCGTCATGAGGCTCCTTCGAGGTCCCTGCATTTTCCATTCGGAATGGTCATGGAGGGCAGCACAAAACAGATTTCAGGAGCTTCATGCCGCTGCTGGGACTCTCCATCTTCGCTGCGTGCGCCTTCCACAGGCCGTTGGAGCGATCTCTAGAATCCAGGCTTCAAGCCTGCCCCAAGGATGGCCCCACGGTGCAGTCCTGGGACACTCTTGGGCTCCTCGCCGGCCGTATTGGAAGCCCCGGGGACCAGCCCAAGAGGCCATCATATGTTTCAGCTCGGTTCAGTTCCGCCTGTGTACCACCAGCGCTGGCAGAGCGGCCCCGTGAGGTGCAGGCGGGACACAAGCGTACAGCACGCGCGGGAAACTGCGCGTGCGGACGCATGATACATGTGGCAACTGGCCAGACTAAACTGACGAGGAGGGGGAGGAGGAGGAGGAGGAGGAGGAGGAGGAGGAGGAGAAGGAGGAGGAGGGAGAACAGAGGCGGCAAAACCTACTGCACCTGCTCACCAAGAGAATCTTGCCATCATAGATGAGGCCGCCCGACTCGTCGTTTGGCTTGGCACCGGAACCATGGTCTCCACCCGAGCAGTCTGTAGCTCCACTTGCCCGGATCTCGCAATTGTTGTCTAAGTTTCGCATAGTTGCCATGTCGGCCTCACGACCAGAGTCCAAGACGGTCCAAGAGGCCCCCAAGATCACCCCACGAGAAGCCCCGATGCCCCCCCAAGAGGGGAAGCTCGAACTGCCCTTCGGAGACTCCAACCCCAAGAGGGCCCCCGAGACAGCCAGCAAACCCCCCGGCGGCCCCCAGAGGCCCAAGAGGCTCCCAGGAGGCCCGCAAGACTTTACCAAGAAGCTCCAAGAACGCTCCGAAGAGGCCTCCACTAGGCTCCAAAGAGGCTCCGCAAGAGGCCTCAATCAGAGGTTCCTTGTCTACGATCCATGAACGGTGGGGGGATGGCCTGAAGGTTACCAGCTACAGAATAGACTTCCTGGTGAACGCATTCGGCTTTGTGTGTCAATTGTGGATTCATGGGGTCGGCGTGATGTGCGCATGACCTGTGTGCGGTGTGCACACGGAAGAGACTTTACGTGCCCGGCGCACGCACAAATACATTTCACAGCGTGCCTGTGATATTTGATAGAGCTTGTTTTTTATTGGGGGGGGGGTATCGCCGGTTACGGGGGGGGGGGGTCCGGCCCCAAGTTGGGGGTAAAGGTAACGCGCGGCGGGGCCCTCGCACGGGCCCTGGTACTTATTACCAGCACAACTGTCGGCACGGTAGGCTTCGTCGTCGTCGTCGTCGTCGTCGTCGCCGCTGTCGTCGTCGTCGAAGCCGACCGGGCCTGTGCACACTACACAGGCTCTGTACACCGCGATGCCTTTGTACACCACAACTGCGGCAGAAATGGTATGTGTGTGCACCACGGCGACTGAGCACATCATGACAGGCGGGTGCACCACAGCGCCCTTGTACATCTCACTGTTGGTGCACACCACGGCGCCCGCGTGCACCACAGCTGCTGTTTCAACGCCCCGTGTTTGCACCAGAATGCCAGCGTACACCACAAAGCTACAAAGCTTGTGTACACCTGTAAGGTACCGGCGGAGCGAAAGTCCAGAAGATCGCTCGGGGCCCAACCGTGGCCCTTTCATTATGTGAGCTGCTTGTGAGCACTGGAGGGAGTGCAGAAGCAAGACAAAGGAGGTGGAGAGGCCAGGCCGGAACCCGTTGAAAGGTTCGCGCCGAGGGATGCGAACCTCGAACCTCGAGGATCGAGGCATCCTGGCCCTCGAGGGCCTTCGTCGTCGCCGCGGCTGGACGCGGCTCGGGAAACTGGTGCGTCTGAGCCCCAGTCGGGCCCCGTGGACCCATTTTGAGTTTGCGCCGAGGTTCGAACCTCGAACCTCGAACCTGAGCACACATGTGAGCGTCACAGCATGCCTGCCTGGACGGAGGGGGGGTCCGCACCCCCGTCCCCGTACGCTCGTTACCGTTACGGGGGGGGGGGGGGACCCCCCCCGTAACGGGCGTTACGGGTCCGAGTAATAAAAAAACAAGCCCATATCATACGTAGAGAGCGAACGCGTAAGATGTGCACGGCCCACAACTGTGGATCGGGACGGCAGTGTAGATTCGTTTGCTAGCCAGCCGCTCTGCGGTTGATCGGGAGTTCCTGTATATAGAGAAGAAGGGGCGTGTGCTTGTGGAAGGAAGGAGACTGAGCGGGAAGCGGTGGCATCCAGCCCCTCCCGCTCCGATGCTGGCAACCTTCACCTTCTTCTCTACATCCTCCCAAAGGATCCCGTGAGGTCCCTGGAGTTCGTTCCTCCTCCGCCCCCTCCTCTACCTCCACCTCCTCCAACTCTCCTCCCCCATCCACCTTCTCCCCACCTTTTCCTCCTCCTCCTCCTCTTCCTCCTCCTCCTCCCCATCCTCCTTCTCCTCCACCGCCACCCCTTCCAACTCTCCTCCTCCTCCTCCTCCTCCTCCTCCTCCTCCGTCACCAGAACGACTCAGGATGGAAAGCTGGTCCCCTTGAGGGGGTCGAGACTTCCGCGGGCCCAGGAAGGGAAAACGCCAAGACATCGGACCCCTGTTTCTTCTATATCTCAACACGCTTGTGGTCTGGGAAGGGGCCGGAGTCCTCCTCCTCCTCCTCCTCCTCCATTCCTTTTCCTTGTAAGTAACTTCTCCCTGTCGCACCCCAAATCCAGTTTTTAGGTCGGGCTGTGTGTTTTGCCTACGACTTCCTCACCACGTATGACTCAAACTTAAAACATTGCCACCGTTTCACGTAGGGAGGGCGTGCCGTTTTCAAAATTACACCTGAGAAAACCCAATCAATGGATGATTTGAAAATTGATGCTATGGATCTTGAGATCGATTGTGACATCGATAATGAGATCGATAGTGGAATCGATAGTGAGGATTGTAAGGTCGATCGTGAGACCGAGAGTGGAATCGATTCAATGAGATCGATCATGAGATCGATTGCGAGATCGCTCATGCGATTTCTAATCACATCGTTTGTGAGATCGATAGTGAGATCGATGGTGAGATCGATAGAGAAATGGGTAATGAGATCGATGGTGAGACCGATCGATAAAAAGATCGACCAAGAACCCGGGAACCCACCCTCCGAAATCGGCCCGGAACCCGGAACCGGGAACCCCGGAACCCAAAACCGGGAACCCGGGAACCCAGCCAGCTGCCCAAATCGGCGGGACACTTTCAACAAACCCTTCCATATCCGCGAGGACCCCTTCAGTGCAAGCATGGCTCTCGCCTTAGCGCCGCGCACATGCGTTCAACAAAACTTGAAGGAGTTTCACGGATTGAAGATAACCCGTTTTCGACATGTGGCTCTCGCCTTAGCGCCGCGCACATTCGTTCTAAACATGTGCAATAGGTTTCACGGATTGAGGATCTCCCGTTTTCAAAATGTGGCTCTCGCCCTAGCGCCGCGCACATTCGTTCTAAAAAATGCAAGAACTTCACGGATTCAGGGTGGCTCATTTTCAACACGTGGCTTTCGCCTTAGCGCTGCGCACACTCGTTCATAAAATTTGCAAGAGTTTCACGGATTCCGACGACCAGCGTGCCAGAAATGGTATTGCGTTGATTGGCGGTGTTGAACTCCCAAGAATGGCGTTCTGGCCCGATCCAAGATCGTCAAGACGCAACAGTCAGGTTGATCCGTGGCGTTGGGATCCCGAGAACAATGTTTTGGCACGTTTCTGGATCTTTGAACGGTTGTCTTCCAACGAGGCAGATCCCTCAATGGAAATGAACCGTTGCAGGGGTCTATGATGAAGGGAGCTTGGAGGGAGGGTGTATTCCAACATCGTTGATGGCTCCTCCTCCTCCTCCTCCTCCTCCTCTGGCGGCCGCGAGTCCGACTGGGCATGCCACATACAGGGGAGACGAACCGTCCTTACACCGTGGCGACCCCGGCAAAACGGCTGGGTGGCCGCCAGGGTGCGCCGACGGGCTTC